CTAGTATCTAACTATGTATTAATATTAAATAATAGCAGCAGGAATATTCTTATTTTGCTTTTTAATTTAAAACTTATTTAAAACTCTTAAGAGTTTTGCTGTGTGAATATAATGGTAAGTTTTGGTTGAGATAGGTTTTTTTTTTTTCCATTTATTTTTATTAGTTGGAGGCTAATTACTTTACATCATTGCAGTGGTTTTTGTCATACATTGAAATGAATTAGCCATGGATTTACATGTATTCCCCATCCCGGTCCCCCCTCCCACCTCCCTCTCCACCCGATCCCTCTGGGTCTTCCCAGTGCACCAGGCCCGAGCACTTGTCTCATGCACCCAACCGGGGCTGGTGATCTGTTTCACCCTAGATAATATACATGTTTTGATGCTGTTCTCTTGAAACATCCCACCCTCACCTTCTCCCAGAGTCCACAAGTCTGTTCTATACATCTGAGGTTTTTTTTTTATAGTTAGGCATTTTCCTTTGCTTTTTCCTAAAAGGTTTTAAAATCCTGTATTGGTGTTGAGTTTTCTCATTTGATTATGTTAATAGCATCTAATGACATAAATGCTTGAATCTGCAGGTTTTCCTTGGAAACCAGATTCTATTCCTGTGTACTCAGATATGACAACATGCTGGTGACTCCCAGTGTCCACTGTGTACATATCTTGGGTTTCCCACCAGCAGGTCAAGCTCAGTGTGCCTGTGGCCAAACCCTCGTGCATCTCCCAGTCCTCTCTGCATTCCAGTCTTGTGAAGGCACAGTCAGAAACCAGGGGACAGTGTAGACCCCTCACTGAGTCATGTTGGTCTTCCTTTTCTAATGGTCTCTCTCCTCCCCCCAAGTTCTGTTTTAGGTCTGGTCTTGGTCATTCAGTGCTGTGTGTTACAACTGGTTTCCTCACTCCTAATGCTTTTGTGTGTGTGTGTGTGTGTCTGCTAGCTGCTCTTCATAGGCTTCTCATTTCTTGTATGAACCATTCTTCTGATAAAAACAGGCTTAACTTAAAGTTGTTTATTTAGAGTGCCAGTCAGGATCCTGCGATTCAGCAGCTCACAATGGGGAGGAGGAGGGCACTGCTGGAGACTGGTACCCTGTGTGCAGGGATTCATGGAGGCATGCAGACCCGGGGTGATCGTCTCCTAGGGGATTTGCCACTGATAGTTTGTGTCTTCTCCTGGCTGCCTTCTTTGTCATCTGTATTTGTCCCCAGTATTGTTGAAATGGGCAGAATCCTTCGCTTATCTTGACCATCTGGGAAGCACACAGAACAGCCTGATTATTAAGCTACTCTCGTTTTCTTCTGGATTGGGCCTTCCTGCTTCTCCCCTTAAAGTAATAGCATTGTCAGTCACGCTTCCCCTTGGAGTCATGCTGCTCGAGGTCCTAAGTAAATGTCAGAAAGGATTTGAGGTCCCAGTGGTATATATCTTGTGTCAGACTGAGGTGTAGAAGGACAGAAAATAGTACTGGAAAGACAAAGCAAAATAAACTGACTTTTGTAAAGCAGTAAGAGGCATAATTTCAGATGCTTGAAAAAGCAGACTGGAAAATATGCTGATGCTAAAAACCCTGATATTTGTGTATGTGGACGTAATCTTATTTGGCTTCACAATAACTCTGTGAACTGAGTAGAGATTATTACCTTTCTGTTTTACAGATGAAGAAACAGCCTTTGAAATTCATCAGTTTGCCCAACATCACATACTTAGTATTAACAGAATCATGACTTGAACTTAGGTGTCTGATTGCCAATTTTGTGTACTCCCTTTTACCTTTCATAAAACCAGAAGAGTGATAACAGTGGCCATCTCCATGTCATCAGACAAATTACATTAGGGATAGCACAAAGGAAAAATAAAAAGTAATCTGTCTTAATCCATGTGATTTTCATATTTTTACACAATGTTATTGAGATGTGGGCTTCTGTGGTGACTCAGATGGTAAAGAAGCTGCCTACAATGCAGGAGACCTGAGTTTGATCCCTGGGTTGGGAAGATCCCCTGGAGAAGGGAGTGGTAACCCACTCCAGTACTCTTGCCTAGAGAATTCCATGGTCAGAGGAGCCTGACAAGCTACAGTCCATGGTGTTGCAGAGTCGGGCACAACTGAGCGACTAACACTTTCACTTTATTGAGATATAATTCACATCCATTACAGTCTACTCATTAAATGGTACAATTCTGTGCCTTTTAGTATACTTAAGAGTTATGCAGCCATCACCATAATAAATATTTTCGAGAGTTATGTTTTAATAGATTTTAGAACATATTCTTTGCCCTAAAAAGAAACTCTTTTAGCCATCACTGCTGCCTTCCCCTAAGTCCTTACCTCAGCCCTTGGCAATCACTAATTAACTTTCTGTCTCTATATATTTACCTACTCCAGACATTTCACACAAATGTAATCTTATGATATGTGGTCCTTGTTTCATTTAGTATACTGTTTTCAAGGGCCATCCATGGTGTAGTGTGTACCTATATTTGTTTTCAGCAAAATTTCTGCTGAAAATCAGCTGATAGCCTTATGTGGATTCCCTTGTGCATGGTTATTTTTTTCTTGCCGCTTTTAAAATTCTCTCTTTAACTTTTGACAGTTTAACGTGTCTTGATGGGGATCTTTTTGGGTTCATCTTGTTTGAGACTCTCTTTGCCTGTGGGACCTGGATGTCTGTTTCTTCCCTAGGTTAAGGAAGTTTTTAGCCATTATGTCAAATATGTTTTCTGTCCCTTTCTTTCTCTCTTTCCCCTCTGGAACCTCTATAATGCAGATGTTAGTGCATTTTATGTTGTCCCTTGGGTCCATTAAACGATCCTCATTTTTTAACAATTCTTTTCTCTTTTTTGCCTTTCTATTTGGAGATTTCCAAGACATTCCAGGTCACTGGTCTATTCTTCTGTATCACTTAGCCTGCTGTTGATTCCCACTAGTGTTTTACAGTTCACTTGTGTTCTTCAGCTCTGTATATTCTGTTTGGAAATTTCTTACATTTTCTATCTCATTGTGGAATTTCTCACTGTGTTCCTCCCTTGTTCTCCCAAGTTCAGTGAGCGTTTTATGACCATTGCTTTGAACTCTTTATCAGGTAAATTACTTATTTCCATTTCATTAGTTTTTTTTTCTCTAGGGTTTTACCTTTTTCCTTCATTTGGAGCATGTTCCTCTGTTTCCTCATCTTGCTTGATTCTCTTGTGCTTTTTCTGTGTATCATGTAAAGCAGCTGTCTCTCCCTGTCTCTGAGGGGTGGCACTGTGGGAGATGAACCTTATTGCTTAACTTTTGCCCTAATTTTTGTTTGTTTCTTGAACTCTCTTTGCACTTGTTGGTGTTTGTGGTGTCCAGAAACACAGTCCTCCTGTCAGCCTGAGCCTGGCACTCAAGGGACATCCCCTGTGTAGGCTGTGCATGCCTGTTGGCTCCCATGGGATTGTGTGAGTGGAATGGTGGTGTGTGGCTGCTCACCAATGGCATGTATTGGTGTGTGACTTGAACAGGGCTGTTCACATGCCACTGTTAACAGGTTAGAATGAGAGTGCAAAATGGTACCTGCCAGCGCCGGCTAGGTGGAGGGAGCCTGTAAAAATGGCACCTGCCAGCATTCCATCCCTGGAGAGTCCCGGTAGACTTCTGCCCCTTTGACAGATGCTGTAAGATCAGTAAGTGAATTTCCTTCACATATGGGCTAAGCTTTTTAGAAACTGTTGCTCTTTGCTCTGGGTCTTGGGGTGAGTGGTTCTATTGGAGAGGAGTGAAGTCTTTATTCCCTGCAGTCTTGAGTTTCTCCATAAGATAATCCCTGTTGGTTTTCAGATCCAGACATTTGGGTGAGTCTCTTCTCTCTGATGTAGGACCCAAGGATTGTGGTGCCTGGTGTGGGTATAAACCCCTTACTTCTTGGGGAGAAGGTCCATTTGTTTGTTTGTCTGTTGATTGATTTGTTGATTAATTTATTAAGATTTCTCTTGATTGTGCGTCACCACACGAAGAGTGGGGATTTCGGTGAGAGCATGTCTTTCCTACCTGTTTCAGTGTGACCCTTTATCCTTTGTTGTGGAGCTGGTGTTCAGATAGTTCTCAGGCTCTGTTCAGAGGAATTTATCCTCCTATGTAGCTGTCTATTTGTTGTGTCTGTAGAAGGAGGTGAATTTAGGATCTTCCTATGCTGCCATCTTGAACCCAATTCCGCAATGGTTTGCTTACCGTCCGTTTGAGGTAAGTTTTGAAATCAGGAGATATGAGTTATCCAACTTTGTTCTTTCAAGATTGTTATGGATATTCTGGGTCCATATAACTTTTAGGATCAGCTTGTCCAACTTCTGCAAAGAAGTCAGCAGAGTTTTCGATGGGGATTACTTTATTTGTAGGTAAGTTTTGGGAGGACTGCCATCTTAACAATAGTAAGGCTTCCGATCCATAAACATGTTGTATTCATTCCCATATTCTCTTCAGCAATCAGTTTTTTCAGTTCAGTTCTTCTAAATAATGGGTTCTCATATTAGGTGTGTTGTATTTTGCAAGGTAACTTTAGTGAAGTTAAAGTCCTCATGCCTGGATTGTCAGGCATAGTGCAAAGGTTTAACTATTGCTCTTAATTAAGCATGATGAATTGATATAAAGTGATTCTTGGAAATTATGTGAAGAAAATAGTATCAGTAATACATGCTTTATGCTTTTCGTATGAACCTTCACATGCAAAGTGGCATGGTTTATTTTGTAGATTGGTTTTTTAAATTATCATTTTTTATCCTAAGTATGTCTGGCATAGGACAGGGATGCTTCAGGCAAGCTTTCAGGTATAGTATCTGGAGTAGGGGTGTATAACAGAAGAGTAACTTATGTGGCTGTAATGAGGGAGGTCCTGTAAAACTTTGCAATAAAATTTAAAATTTAAAACACTCTCAGTTTGTGTTTCTGTGGCATAAATAGTCTTCCCAAGCTTGACATGGTCAGGTACCAATGATGTAATAATGATGATTATACTAGAAGCACCAAAGGCTACTCTTGGTATGCCATGTGGTGGGACTCCAGGCATGGTTAGTTTGAGTAATTGTTCTGAGGCCACATGGAGTTTGTCATCTCTCACAGAGGAATTTAATTCATTAGTGTAAGACATCGCAGCAGTAGGTCAGTGCCTCTTGTCTTATGTAATGTGAATACATGTATTCAGACCACTTGTTTGAGCACAGTGCTCTATATTGGGTCAGCCTCATACAAAGCCTTGAAATAGAGTATGTGATGTATAATGTCTAGACTTTAACATTTTATATATTACTGAATATAATAATATCTAGACACAGGTGAAGAATCTGCCAGCAACGCTGGAGACCCGGCTTCAATCCCTGGGTTGGGAAGATCCCCTGGAAAACGGAATAGGCTACCCACTCCAGTATTTTTGCCTGGAGAATCCCATGGACAGAGGAGCCTGGCAGGCTAAAATCCATGGGGTTTCAAAGAGTCAGACACTACTGAGCAACTTTCACTTTCACTTTTTTCAATATTACCGACTCTCTTTTCCTGTTCTGTTGGCTATCAGTGATTACTTGCCAGTTATTAAACTAGGCTCTTTAAAAGCAGGATATTCTTTTGGCTTGTTTTCTCACGTGTGTTGATTCTCTCTGGCTTCTTGTTCCTTCCTGTTGCTGGTTGATCAGAGTCCTGTGGAAGAAATCAATTTTGTGAGTCCTGCTGCTCTTCAGTTTGGTTAGTAACACTGTGGAGGTGGGAGCAGCCACTCAAACACCTGCCTTTGGTCCTGAGCACAGTTAGGGGAGAGGGGTAACAAATGGCTGCTTGGTAAGTGTGAACTTAGGGTTATCAGTCCCTAAGTTGTTCACCTGCCGTGTCTACCTCCCCAGCTCCAGTACATGTTTAATAAACGAAAATCCCCAAGTTAGAGATTCATTCTTTTGGATTAAGGCTTCCATCCTTTGTTAAAACTCAAGCAGCATCAAATATTATCTTGTTAAACATTATGGATTTTTTTGATAATTTATATTTAATTGGTTTTGTACACAGAGTTTGATCTCTGTGTAGGGAGAGATAAAGAACATATAATTCAGTTGCTAGGCACTTTGGAGGAATGTAGGAGAAAACTAGAAAAAAGAGTAAGGGCTGCCTGGAATCGTGAATATAGCTTATTCAGACATGTTACTTTACTACAGGCAGCCTTCAATGGTTCCAGGAATGTCTGGGATGACCTTCATCTTCCCTATATATTTTTTTTTTATTAGTTGGAGGCTAATTACTTTACATCATTATAGTAGTTTTTGTTATACATTGAAATGAATTAGCCATGGATTTACATGTATTCCCCATCCCAGTCCCCCCTCCCACCTCCCTCTCCACCCGATCCCTCTGGGTCTTCCCAGTGCACCAGGCCCGAGCACTTGTCTCATGTACCCAACCTGGGCTGGTGATCTGTTTCACCCTAGATAATATACATGTTTCAATGCTGTTCTCTTGAAACATCCCACCCTCGCCTTCTCCCAGAGTCCACAAGTCTGTTCTATACATCTGAGTCTCTTTTTCTGTTTTGCATATAGGGTTATCGTTACCATCTTTCTAAA